TGGAAAAACTCAGGATAAAAGGTAAAAAGGCATACAAAAAATGGGGGGGGGGGGTGAAGTTCCACTTTAATAAATATTATTGAATTTGCTTGCGCATATTTCCAAGCCAACCATGCACATGTTCATCATGTTCTATTTTAGTAAATCAGGAGAAGGCAGCTCTGCCGCATCGCCAGAGATCGATGGCCCAGCAAACGAGCTTGCCATCACATTAAATCTGGCCCTCTTAGTGATCTCTGACGTTGCCTGCTATAATCCTGACATTTCCACATTGCATCAGAACATGTGAAAAACAACGACAAAAAAATAAAAAATGACTGCAGCTGCAGCACCAAAGTGTCTATGGACAATGGCCTGCAAAGCACACGTCGCACTTTCTCCAGAAAAATGGTCTCCGGATACACGCATGACAAGGGATCAGGTGCAATTTACAAACAAAAGATGGACGCTGCAACAGATCCTTCCTGAAATATGTCATTGTTTCTTCTACAGATCATTCATGTAAACATCAAGTGAGCCCATCCCACCTTCTATTCTATAACCAGGAAGGCAGCATTGCTGTTGTCATGCAGAGTGGAGGAAAAAAAAAAAGAGATCATCAAAGCCTCAGTGATATCGCTGGAAGGCGAGGGAATAGGTCTGCGAAATGATCATTTGTTCTGTTAGGCTTAAAGTGGCTATAAATAACCTGAGCATCTGAAAGTGGCGATCTCTGCTCCATTTTCATGAAGCTAGAATGAATCAGCTCCATCACATCTTGCTCTATATAAGCCCTCCCCCCTCCCCTTCCCCATTCATGGCCGTGAAAATGTCCCTAGTCATGGAGCCTTATCATGGATGCCTACAAAGAAGATCATTACATAAACGATACTAATCACAGATCGAATGCATCCGTTTTTGTTTTTTTTATCCCAGTGTAGGAAAAACGTAGCAAAATCAAAGAGAAGTCCTACGGGGGAAAAAAATAAGAATAAGGCAGGGCATGACGTTCGTGTGATCAGGCTGCCTCCCCTTGTACATGACAGCTCCATGTAAAAGAAATGCCCACGCGTGTCGTCATTCCTCTGCAGGGGCAGCCTGTGCCAAGGGGACGAGGGTAATAGCAGTACCTGGTCTGTGCTGGCTCCGGTTATGGCTGCTGCTCTTCTTCTTCTTCTCCTCTAGGGATGAGTGTACCAGCTACTACAGCGCACAATGATCGGCCTGTTCTATGGTCAGGAACAGATCGCTGCTTCTCACATCTGATCCTCAGCGCAGCTCTGCTCATAATACTGCCTGCAAATTTATTCCACGAACAGCGCCGCCGTTTATTGGCTCAGAGAAATTTGGTGCCACACGCTGCACACACATCTATTGGCTGCCTGCAATCTGCTGACTGCAAGTCTGCTGCGCTACAAGTGAATGACAGCAGCTACAGCCCAGAGCGGAGAAAGGGAGGGAGGGGGCATTTCCATAGAGGAGAGGAAACCATTCACTCCTCTACAAGTGACTCTTAACCATGACCTATAGTTACCTACATCACCTGATTCCTCATATAGCTGCCGGGTGACGGACATACCTTGGCAATGTTCACGCTGCAGAGCCTGATGTTACATGCACGGTGCTCGGTGTCATGAGGGGAGGGTGTCCGCTCCTCTGGATACTAGAAATGGACGACCTGCAGCTCCGCCCACGTCATAGAGCCTTTCCTCCGTCTATGTAGCCACCGTGTGACTTCCAGCTCGTATCTGTGCTGGGGCTGCGATGTACCTGGAGAGGTTGCCCGTAGCAACAATCAGCTTTAGCTTGTTTAATGAAAGCACATCTCTGGGGTTTTCTAAACGTAACCCTTGCTACCGCCTCACTGAAAGGGTTAACGGCTCGTATCTGTGCTGGGGCTGCGATGTACCTGGAGAGGTTGCCCGTAGCAACAATCAGCTTTAGCTTGTTTAGTGAAAGCACATCTCTGGGGTTTTCGAAACTTAACCCTTGCTACCTCCTCACTGAAAGGGTTAACTGCTCGTTTTGGGCTAGGGCAGTCAGGGTTTCTCACTCTTTTGTCACGGCACCCTTTAAAAGTATGCAAATTCTTCAGGCCCCCCGGCTAACATGTAAACAAAATCACAGGTAGGGACTTGGTATTGTTTTTAAGGGGGGACCTCATACGATAGCACAACAAAATGGGGTTTCCCGTCACCTTAGAATGCCACCTTTTAAATCAGGAGACCCCCTTTACATCAGCGCCCCTCCTTTCACATCAGAATACCCCGCCCTTCACATCAGAGCCCCTCCTCTCACACCAGGAGCCCCCCTTCAGGTCAGAAC